TTCGTTTATTTCGATCCAAACGGTTGAACTCTCGTGTTAGACCAGACCAGACCAGTTAGACCAGAGTTATTAGTTTACGAAATAAGGTCGGACCCAGTAATCTGATGCTACTTTAAAGCGGGCCTTGACCAAGCCTTGCAAGGCCTGGACAAACTTGTGTAGGTCCGCTAGTATTTATACCCGAAAATGTTAATTTAAAACCAAACAAGCCACTGATGTGTAGTAGTATTTTTGGACCCATCCTGTTGTGTAGGGGTGCTTCACTCGATAACATGTCCCGTGTTCACTTAACGTGAAAACATCTCTCGGCAGAGCGGGAGTTATTTAATGGCAATTTGTTCCGACAGAGTGGATTCACTGGTGGGTGAAATTTGTGTTTTGGTTCAGAGAGAGCGTACCACTGCACCAAATCGAGTGGGCCGATGAATTATTTACACAGTGTGTTGATCGAAGTATGCTGTAGGGTATGAAAACGGTAAGTACTACAGTGAACTCATGGCTTAAAAAAAGACGACTTGGTCGGGTACATGTAGATTGGTATGGGCGGGGGACGAGCACGGGATAGGCGGGGATTCCAAACCGGAGGCGTTACGTACATTCCGAAAGGGAAAACCCGTAGTAGGAGTAAGGTCTTCTTATCAATGCTTAAAAGAATTTATAGAGACTATAATACCACAGGAATCTGCGGCTATTCTGTAACTATGAAAGAGTGTTACCTCGCCCTACTGTGATCGTACTCAAACCACGATTCTATGAACAAGCCAAGTTCTTATTCCGGTGATTATATTTTTTTTCAAATCTCATTTTGTTCATGTATTGGAAGAGTTATAGAGACTGAAAGCCGAATACTGTTTACAATTCGGTTTTTTCGGCCAATTTAAATGCTTAAATCAGTAACAAGAGAGTGGGTTTAACACAGAAACAATGATAAGCACGAACACTGTTTCGTGAATACGGACCCAGGTATTACACGTCAAGCTGATCATTTAATTTGCTTAAGACTTGATTATTAATAATGCAAATGGCCACATTGTCGCCTGGTAATAATTTTTAGAAACAAAAATAGGCCGGAAGTTGTCAGGCCAGCTGGTGACGTACGAACTGTGGAACGGAAGTTGGGTTTCTAAGGTCTCTGTCAACATTACACAATGAATGATAGAGTACTGTGTTACTTTCAGCAGACATGAAAAAGGGTTTGTTCGGGAAGACTATTGATGTACAAAATGTACTGATAGAATTCTGGTAAGGCATTATATCAGTATCGAACAAAATCAAGCATCAGCTCAGCATAAAAATGGAATCCGTCATCCGGTTTACCCGTTACTGCTTACATACACGAGAGTCAATAACGACCCTGTAATACATTTGATTACAATTAC